GGTTTAGGGGTTTAGGGTCTAGGGCGGCGCCTTGCTCAACAGGGAGCATCCCCATCTCTGCCGGCGTCTTTCCCATCTGCTCCGCGTGGGGCCGGGAGAGGTCGGTCTCGATAAAGCCCGGGTTGCAGCAGCTGACGATAAGGCTCGGATGTCGCCTCCTGGGCTCTAGGGTTTAGGGTTTAGGGTTTTGGGTGTTGGGTTTTGGGGTTTGGGGTTTAGGGTTTAGGGTTTTGATAGAAAGGAGCTTAAGTTGAAATAGCAGGCATTTAGAATGAATATTACCATAATCCGGATCTCTAGGAAATAGTACCACAATCGGGATCTGCAGTGAATAAGATGGTTTCCTAACAGGAACCCAGGTTCTGCAGCCACGAGGTATAGGAGTTTAGCAGAGCCTTGGAGAAGCCATAGCCATCCAAACCCCAGGAGATTCCCGTGGCCCGAGCCACAGCCGTGTCGTCCGCATCCGCCGGCAAGCCTCGCCGGATAGCCTCCACCTTGGTTCCTGTATAATATCTGCAGTATAGTATGAGCATGAACAACTACACTAATTGCATCACAACTATACCTTAAGTCGTCTTTAGCATATAAACACTACACAGCTATACTTTAGATCCGTCTTTCTTCTGGGAACTCCCCACCTCTTGCGCAAGCTCGTCGATCTGCTCCCAGAGAAGGGTGGAACTGCTCAGCAGCGCCTTCCGGTCATCGCGGCACTTGGCTACACACGTCGGGCCCCCCCCAGAGGAGATGTTCACAATACGTCCTCCAATGGGAGTCAGAAGGGGGACGAAGGCGTCATTGACCCTCTTGGTACCATAGAGGTGGAGCTTCAGCATCTCCGAGAAATTCATGAAACAGCCCGCATTGTTCACGATGCCATAAAGCTCAATTCTACTAGCCTCAAATCTATGCTGTGCCGCAGCGACCGACGTCTCACTCGTGGGATCTATCAGAAGGAGCTCCACTCGCTCCCTCCACTCTGGGTGGCTGCCGATCAGACTCCGAACAGCATCTTCCCCACGGGCTCTGTCACGCGATCCAAGAAAAACGAAGGTGTCACTGGCATCTGCCAGCAACTTTCTGACAATGGCAAGGCCAATGCCCTTGTTTGCTCCCGTCACGAGAATTCGGCGCTGAGGTGCCAGCGACATGAAGCCAAACGGCTGGGAACCTATCAAAAGTCCGCGCTCGGGCTGGGTACTTGGATGCATGAGAGTAGTGCGATGTTCTGCACTAGTGAGCTAGCTCCGGGCATCTTAGAGAGGCATAGTTGAGGAAACGAGATCTCCATCGATTTCGGTTTACGGTTAGGGACTGGGCCTCATCTACAGGTTCCTCGCATTGGGCCGAAAGGAACAGGGTCACACCGAGTGACCAGACAGTCCCTCATCCACAGTGTCCGCACAAGTACGCAAAGAGGCACCAAACTGGCCGAAGCCATTCCAAATCAAGACCAAATAGATTATGACGCAAATCTCGTGCAGAGACTTTTCCAACGTACGATGCTCTACGCCTCAGAAATTCAAGATGCAGCACGTAATGTAGAGACCTTAAGAATTCGAACAGGGTCGTGGGAGGCCTTATCATGAGGAAGCCTGGGGAACACCAGTAGTTGTTCAGGCCTGTGCTGGGCCTCAGCGTCCGGGGTTTGGGGCTCTGTAAAGTATTGACCTTAACAGCCGAAACCCCTGTAGAAGCCGCTATAGACACCGGAACGTTTGTCAGAAGCAATACACTACAAAACCCTACAAATACCCTATAGACAATCTGCAGACAACTCACTAAAAGCGTCGTTCATTTCCAACCCTATTTCAAAAATCCCATAAAACCCAGTTTTAAAGAATTGAAAACCCAATCAAACACCCTGCAGCAGCCGAAACAACACCCTGTCACACCGTACAAACCCCTAAGCCCTAAACTCTAAACCAGGAAACCAATTATAAGTATACCCCTAAACCCCTAAACCCCAAACCCTAAACCCAAGAAGCCCTGAAATCCTAAACGTCCACCTTCACAGCAGCCAGGGCCGCGTCACCGGTGTCGATTTCATGCGTCTCCCTGGTAAGGGGGTTGTAGGGCTGGCTTCCTGTAAGGGCTCGTTCCTTCAAGTGGGCCTGCATGAGGGTTTAGGGTCTAGGCGTTTTTGGTTCGGAGATGAAGTTCAATCATGCTTGGGCTTGGGCTTCAGGGTTTAAGCTTAGGGACATAGGCTGATTGGAAAGAGGCTTCGGAAATCTTCCGTTGGAGCTGGATGGTACAAAGAAGGGTTAAAGGTCAGGAAGCCCTACAATCCTACGGCAAATGCGGCCGGACCCCAGAAACCCAACGAGCAGGTGCAAGGAGACAAGAAGCAGAAAACTGAGAGTGGGAAACATGCTGAGATTCATCAGAAAAAGGAAGACACAAGGGAATGTAACAAGGTAACCATCCAGAAAGAGGGGGAATGATGGAAAGTCCGCATCAGTGCATGCTGGCGTTTGCAAAGGAACCCTAAACCCTAAACCTTAAACTGATTCTGCATGCCAGCCTGCCCTTGGCTTCAAGCACAAAGCAAGATAAGACGCTGCCAAAGCCCTCCGACCCTCGATCTCCCCCCGCCGGCGAAGTGCGACGAAACACTGACTCTCTAGGTTCAGGGTTAAGGGTTTAGGGTTTGGGTCTTCTAGGCCCTGAGCCCTCAACCCTGAACTCTCAACCCTAAACCCTAAACCCCAAGACCCCAACTAAATACATCCTAAACGCTGCAAGCCCCAAGCCCAAAACCCCGAAACCCCCTGCCGAGAACTGCGAAAGAGTCTTTGGTTCTTAGTAGAGACGGGCGGAACGGATCCCTAGGCTAGTCCCCGGGGTTACAGTAGTCCCTGTAAGCCATTCCCCCGTTCCCGACCAAGCCCTACACCCCAAACCCAAACCCCAATCCCAAACCCCAAACCCTGAGCCAAACCTTAAACCCTAAACCCCAAACCCTAACCCCAAACCCCAAACCCTCAACCTTAAGCCTAAACCTCAAATCCTAAACCCCAAACCCTCAACCCCAAACCCTAAACCTTAATCCTAAACCCTAAACCCTGAATCCCAAACCGTAAGAACCTGCCTCGAGAAGATCGACCCCATGGGCCCAAGGTAGGTCGGGGAGGGAGCTCAAAGCTCCGTCGGGCCCAGGGAATGGTAAGGATTTAAGGCTTTTTTGAGTGTTTAGAGGTTTAGGGGCTTAGGGATTTAGGGATTTAGGGATTTAGGGGGTTTAGGGGTTTAGGGTTTAAGGGTTTAGGGGTTTAGGGTTTAGGGGTTTAGCGGTCTAGGCGGGGTTTCTTGGTTTAGGGGTTTAGGGCTTAAGGCTTGGGGGGTGTAGGGAAAGCTTCAGGGGTTGAGGTCTTCACCTTAGGCCTCCAGGCCCTAGCACCTAAACACCTACAGTCACTAGACAACAGGATTAGTAGATAGAAGAGTTGATCTACAATATAAATCATGTATAACATATCGCCGTCGGATTCTTAGGGCCCAGGCTAAAAGGGATTTAAGGTTCCCTCTAGGTATCTGGGACCCGGATTCCTTTAGGACAATTGGGTTTAGGGTTTAGGGTATAGGGTTTAGGGTTTAGGGTTTAGGGTTTAGGGTTTAGGGTTTAGGGTTTAGGGTTTGGGGATTCCTTACCGTAGAGAGGTTCCTTTGGATCAGGATGTGCAGGCTTCGGCCCTGCGACTTCGGGGTTCAGGAAGAGCAAACGGCTGCAGACTGACAAGGCAAGGTATAATATAGGGGCCTTAGTAATTAGAATAGGGTTGCGGGGCCCTTTATAGCATAATTATAATAAGGAGCCCCAAGAGTATAGGTAATTATTGAGGCGCTCTTATCATCCCGACGTTCTTATCTTCCGGGCGCTGCGGTTTGTAAGGCCTTGCCATAGGTCCGGCTACCGGTCTGCAGATAGAAGAACACTACTTACTACTACAGCTCCTGCATACAGGAATTGTGGATCCTGGGGCGGGTTTTCAGGATGTTGACTCTGAATCTGAACAGGTGCCCCATAAGGGCCGGGGAGGTGCAAGCAGCAAATGGCAGTGTCAAGCAGCAAGTGGTAGTAGCCGTAGCAGCAGCAGCAGCAGCAGTAGCAGTAGCAGTAGCAGTAGTAGTAGCACTGGTAGTTGAAGTTGCTGCTGCCGCCGCCAGTAGACGTAGTTGGTCTCTCTTTTCAGTAACGGTGGCGC